CCCCATCATTGGCCTCGATCCTTCCTTTTTGTTTTGGTTTTATGCGCCTCTAACTAAAACACAGGAATAAGGCCTGGCTGTGACCTGACAGAACTAGATATGTCCTGGGACTTGAAATCGCTATATCGAAAATCCGGGAGCAAGAGGGCGGCCATACCTGGATCCTCGATGCCTGGCGCTTCGGTGAAGAGACAGAACTTGCCGCGTCTCGACCCGAACACGGAAAGCTACGTGCCACAGGATCCCAATGTTCTTCCGCCGACCGTGACGATACACAAAGGGCGTAAGTAAAATAAAAGGGCGTGTATATATCGGTAAAGGTAAGACGAGAGAGAGAGAGAGAGAGAGAGAGAGACTGAATGCCGAATGCTCGCAGAGGTATCGTATCATGCTGTAACGGACGAGGATCACCTCTACAAGACGCTGAAGAACGAATGCGAGCCACCCGTTATGTTCGCGGTGAATCGAAATCTGTATGCCTGCGTGAAAATCTTAAACTGTAAGTGCTAATAAGACTAAAGCGACTAAAATTCGCGATTAATTCGAGTTAAACCAACTATTCTCTGATGAAATGAAATGATTTGCATTCTAGTAAATTGTTGTATAAACAAAGTATGCTGGAACGTGACGTCGAAAGGATTGGCTTGCGTGGGGCAGGACGAAGTTATACTGCTGATCGAAACGTTACCCGACGAGACACGGGTTCCGAAGGATCTGCTCATCTTCGTGAACCAGTTGTACCTCGAAGCTATGAAAGGTTTGTTCGAACTGGCCAGAACCGCGTTAGGACCGATCCGAGATCGAACGATTCTCCTCTGATGCAGGCAAAACTGTCTCCGAGTTGGGCTTTTCGTTGTACGAGGGAGGAAATCTGTTGGGTTCCCGGGAACACGCGGGATTCCTGTTTATACGGCAGACGCTGCAGTGCCTGCAGAAGATCGTGCTGCCCCCCGCTCCGTTCTTGGTCGGTCTTCTGGTTCACAGGTTTGTTCGAGCGTTGCCGCGGTACGGACTGGCGCGAAATTTCTAAATTTCTAAATCTCATCGGAAATATATATATATATATATATATATATTCTCTCTGCGCAGATGGGAAACACCGTGGACGAAAGTGTTTCCGTTGCGTCTCGTTCTGCGGCTCGGCGCCGAGTATCGTTATTACCCTTGCCCGTTGTTCTCCGTACGATTTCGAGACGCTCTGTACTTCGAAATAGGCCACACCGTCATGAAAGTCTTGGCAGATTTCCGAAGCTACGGGTACACGCTGCCGAGCGTCAGAGGATTGACGATACACCTCAGGAACAGGATGACGGACGTAATGTTTCCGAAGAACCGTTACGACCAAGTGATCAAGGGGTTGAACAACTCGAACGATCACGTGTTGGCGTATGCTTCGAACTTTAGCATAACAGCCGATTCGCATTTGGTTTGTATACAAACGAACACAGGCGACGAGAGCAGTTACCAGACGCAAGCGATAAGCATCAATAACAAGCCAAGAACAGGTGAACGATAGAAGAATAGGTATGCACGACAACCGAGTATGGAAGGTGAAACTAATTCGAAGAAATCTCTCTCGTCTAGTAACGGGCACGAGTTTCATCGTGATCAATGGCGCATTGAAATCATCGATGGGGCTGTCGGCAAAGTCCAGTATAGTGGAGGACGGTTTGATGGTGGAAATAATGCCGGAAAAGATGGAGGCGTTGAAAGCAGCGCTCCGAAATATGCAGGATTTCTCGATCGGTTGCGGTCGACAGGGTGCACCCGAACCGGACGAAACGGTGAACATAAAGTGGGTCGAGAACGACGTGCAGTTCAATATAGGGTAAGTCTTTATCGTGTAAGTTTTAATCTCGCCGCGATTCCTCCTCGAAACTGTCGAGTCGAATGTTCTCGTTCCAGGGTTAAAAGTCCTATCGACGGCCAGCTAATGGACGGCATTCCATCGATCAGGGTACACAATGGTACCGACTACAGAGGGACGAGCAGATTTATCCGTTGGACGGAAGTATTCATCATTAAGGTATCTCTTGACAGGCAAACACTAGCAAACACTAGCAAACACGCGCAGTCGTATTATTTACCGATTCCTACCGAACCGAAACTCGTCCTTTTTTATTAAAGTCCGACGACCACCCGAATGGTCTCCACGATCCACTGGATATAAATAAATTGTCCGGAAACATAGCGAAAGCAACGTCCACGGCTCTAGTGAAGCTATTGGATCTTTTGAGTACCGCTGGTTTCACGAAACTCGGCGTGCGAACCACCATTCACCCCGACAATGTGAGTGAATCCTTTCAGACGATACGCGAGGTTCGACAGAGCCTTCTATGAAATATTCTAATGAAATATTCTAATGAAATATTCTAATGAAATATTCTAATGAAATATTCTAATGAAATATTCGTATTATGATAATGACAGGTGGGTTACGAAGCCGGCAGCGAAGGTATGAAATTGCCACCGATCTACATGAACAGTTTGGACAACGAATTAATTCAAGTTTTGCATAAAGCAGCTCAAACCAGTCAGGATACGCATACCGTGCTTGAATTAATCTTTTATATACTTGACGATTAAACCCTGTGTCACCATTACTTCCGTTTTATTAATAATTTTCCAGGAATCGCAAAGTGAATCGCAGAAATACAATAGGTCGCCGCGTACACTAAAGATGTACAGTCGAAACGATCCGTAGGCAACAGAAAAGTAGTAGATCTCTCGAATCGAGGAGAAGATATTTTCTAACTATACACGCTATCGACATAGAGAACAAAGAAGCGCTTATATTATAAATTCTACTAAATCAAGTCCATTAAACTTAAAAACACTACTAATCCCAGATACACACACTCACACGCGCGCGCACACACATACACAAACACAAACACAAACAGTTCGACGTAACGCGCCAGGCATTGTAAATTCGAAATCGGATAATCAAACTTTCCTTTTCAATTGTGTCTGTTTTAGCGTTTTATTTATCGGGATAGATGCTGTCCACTACGATGTCCTTCGGTTAGAAAATGTTCGTAATATTCTTTTCTGTATCGTGTATGCATACAAACTTTGTAAAGTTGTGTCGGAAGTTCTACAAAAATTTGTTCGCGGCCAACAGCCGAAATCACGGTACACCGTCATTTGTTGTTTGCATTATGTAAATATATACGTTTTGTTGTTATTCGTGTAATATTTGTATAATGATAGTTAATAGTACTTTTTTGACGGAAGAAAGTATTGAAAATGTTAATAAATAAACTGGTTTTCGTTAATCTGATTGCATATTTGCAGAAAATTCGAGCAATTTATTGGGACGTTTCTGAAGGAACCTTGGAATGTTGAGTTTCACGAGATTATACAAATATATGTATATTTTCTTTTGTGGTTCGGCAATCCTTGATTTCACCCGACAATCCATTTCTCGAAACGCGCGCGCGATTCGCATCCCCTTTCCCGCCAAGCCTAGACAAGTGCTCTCGATACGAACCAAAGAAATTACCGTTTAAAAATTCATTGATACGCGCCTAAGAAACGTGTCAATTTCAAATAACAAACGAATAAAAATCATGCGGTAGAAATGATCGTAATCAACGCGCGAGCGAGCGAGTGCTGTGTGCTGTGTGCTGTGTGCTGTGTGCTGTGTGCTGTGTGCGGTACGCGGTACGCGGTACGCGCGTCCGTGTGTGCGTGCTGTTCTCGATTATACACACAGAAAATGGGAACAGTTCTCTGATTGTGATTTGACCAAGAACCTTCTCGTGTTTTGGTTGGAAGGTACAATGCACGGTATTTAAGGCAAAATGGAGAGGTATTCGTGTCAAATCCCCTAAAGATAAAAATTAATGAGCTGTTCGTGTACGCTTTATCGTTGACAGCTGATATGATATGATCATGGCGGAATCCACGAACAAGACGGAGGATGATGAAGTTAAATGTAAGGTTTTAATTATCGGAGCCGGAATGGCCGGACTGTCGGCGGCAAATCATTTGTTGAAGAACCACGAAACCGATTTCTTGATCGTGGAGGCACGAGGTCGTATAGGTGGTCGTATCGTAGCATTAAAAATCGGTAAGTTTCCGCTTAACCTAATTCTCGAATTTTCCCAATGAAAGTTTCATTTTACATCTTGATTAGTCGATTTTCTTTGAAAGATTCATCGTATGCTATAAATGTCATTCGTACAGTTTAAACGGTATTCGCATTGCTATTCCTTCAACGAGTTATTCCGATGTGCAAGTCAGGTATATCCGATTGTGTACGTATAAAATTCAAATTCCCGTGAAACCAATCAGAAAAATAGTGACACTCGTTAAATTCTAATTCCTCTGACTTTCCAGTATATGGAAGTGTACAAGATACAGTGAAACAAAGGTTAATGAAATTAATTTATTAAAAATTTATTAATTTTCTAATTCCAACGATGACCAATCCTATTTCAAGTTCAAAATTGTTTGTTTCTCGAAAGAAAATGTTCGACGTCACGATAAAACTTGATCTGGAAAAATGTTTAATTTACTTTAGGCAATGAGAAAGTTGAGTTAGGAGCAAATTGGATCCACGGAGTTTTAGGGAATCCTATGTTCGAATTGGCAATGGCGAATGGACTAATAGATATCGTACGTGTACCGAGGCCTCATAAAGTTGTAGCAGCTACGGAAGATGGGAAGCAATTGTCGTTTCCAGTCCTGCAAGAAATCTATGAAGCTTATATATGTTTTTTAAGACGATGCGAAGAGTATTTTCTAAGCCCTTATAGCCCTCCGGATGGAATAAACAGTGTCGGCGCGCATGTGGCATTAGAGGCTGAGATTTATTTATCCTCTCTGCCCGAAGAGGAGAGAAGAATTAGACAATTATTGTTCGATTGTTTACTTAAAAGGGAAACTTGTATTACTGGCTGTGATAGTATGGAAGACGTCGATCTCTTGGAAATGGGTTCTTACGCAGAGTTACAAGGTGGAAACATTAGTCTTCCGGATGGGTACAGTGCTATTTTGGAACCGGTTGCTAAACATATACCAAAGAACAGCATTCTCGTCAGACACGTTGTAACGAAAATTAGGTAAACAGAATTTCATTGTTCCGACGATAGTTCCGTATTTGAAAGGGCCGGCATATTACAGAATCTGTTGATCGTAGGTGGCACAAGAAGAAGTGCGTCGAAGAGGAGAATTCCGAGAGCTGTTTAAATTCGAATGGTTTGATAGAAGTGCAGTGCGAGAATGGGAAGAGAATATTAACGGAACATGTGATTTGTACATTGCCATTAGGAGTTCTTAAGGAAAAAGCTAACGATATATTCGAACCACCTTTACCTAATTATAAGCTTGAAGCCATAAATAGATTACTGTTTGGTACCGTAGACAAGATATTTTTGGAATACGAGCGACCTTTTTTAAACCCCGGTATATCGGAAGTGATGCTTCTCTGGGACGATAGACGATTATTGGAAGAGGACAAGCAGGACATCGGCAAAACGTGGTTCCGGAAGATCTATTCTTTCACCAAGATCTCGGAAACGTTGTTGCTAGGATGGATATCGGGGAAAGCGGCGGAATACATGGAAAAATTGAGCGCAACGGAGGTAGCGGATGCGTGCACGTCGATACTGAGGAAATTTCTGAACGACCCGTACGTGCCGGCGCCAAAGAATTGCATCCACACCTCCTGGCACGCGCAACCGTACACGCGCGGCTCGTACACCGCGATGGCCATTGGCGCGAGTCAGTCGGACATTAATCGTTTAGCCGAGCCTATCAAGCAACAGGACGACCCGTCGAAGATCGTCGTAGCGTTTGCCGGCGAGCACACGCATTCTTCCTTTTACAGTACAGTGCACGGCGCCTATTTAACCGGCCGAACCGCTGCTCAAGCACTCCTGGAATCGAGCAAGAACGATAAGAACTCGCTGAGCCTCAGCTGCGAAGACACGAACGACCTCAGCTCGTGGATACAAGGGATCTCGCTGAATTAATACCAGAGAAGGACAGAAACTCTACACACCTATCGAGCACAATTTACTACTGACGGTTACGAACAATATTTTCCACACTGTCGCGAGGCGATAATTGTGATTTCTCTAGGTATTTAGTATTAAACGCGAAATTCCTAAACTCTGTTTATTTTGTAAATATCATAGCGAATATTCTTTCCGTTATGTACATAAGAACAACGCCTGTCTAAGACTCTTCTTCTTTTTCTTCTTTTTCTTCTTTTTCTTCTTTTTCTTTTTTTCTTTCACGAAAGAAGATACAGAATGTTACTACTACTCGTATGTTGTGTTTCTGGTGAGTAATCCTGTTAACGAAATCAAATCGAATGAAATGAAATGCAGAAAGTGCTTTTTATTTTAGAGAAATTCATTGTCGTTTGCAAGAAATTGATTACGATGGTCTTACGATATATATTATTATTGTATCAGTCGAGGCTTTACTCGGCGAGAATAGAAACGAGATGGGAATGAAAGAGAAATATTTCTGTACAAACTGAAAGGCATCGGTTATCGTTACACGCGCGTTGTAGCAGAAACTTTCCAAACATTTGCAACAGATCCCAAGTGACAGGAGTTTTTATTCTAACGAGAGATTAGCATTCCTTCGATTCTGCATTTTCTTTCGAAACATGTTTACACGTGCAAGTATTAGGAGAAACGTGCGATTCGTCTAGTCATATTGCCTCGAGCGATTTAGTTTTAAATAATTCTTACATCTGCGATTCTTTGTTTAATTTTAACCCAATAACCGACCCACACTGTGCTAATCGATGTAGCACGTGTTGTTTTGTAATTAAACGAACAGAATAGAAAGCCTTGAAACGGTGAATTTCCGTTGAATATGTGATAGAAACATTTGCAGCAATTATTACTTTGCTATGTACATTTGATACTTTCAGAAAGTAAGTTTTTCTTTTTCTAATAATGAAATACCAACTGTATATGTATTTATTTTTCTCTAACTGCCACTTAATCTTAATTCATGATAGCGCAAATTGAGGGATAATTGATGAAACAAAAAGAAATGTTATATTATGCACAGATAGTACTATAACTAAAATAAATAATTTTCAGTAATTACCTTAAATAATTCTTTGACGTTTTACACGAACCTGTACACAGCGGAACATCCCACTCGGAAGAGAATATTATTTTAATATTTTAATCTTGTGTTCAAATCAAATCGTCTATGTAGAGATTCAGTTTTATTTCGAGATAAGCAATATTTTTATCGTTACATCAGTTTGTACATTTATTGTACAAATAAATATTATACAGCATATCGTTAAGCAACTATGGCATTACATACTTAAATACATACAGGTACATAAATTCTATTTGTAAAATTTCACATTTGTAGAATTTCTTACTGTACATCGATTCACGAGATTAGTAACAATAATATTTGATTTATTCAGAAGAACTGTGCTGTACGTTAGCTTCGCCGAAGTTTAAATTCGCACATTCCTTACCCTTTGAAATTTCAAATAAGTTTAGAGGAAAGCTAACTCGCGTACTGTACAAATTCTACTCGATACACGTCGTGTAAAATGAGCTATACAATTCCATTTGTTCTCGAGTATATCTTTTCAAAGAGTAACATATTTTTCAAACCACATATTCGACAACTGACTTTTGATAACGTTCTTATCAATTTTTTCCGATTATCGACATTAGATCGAAATACACACATGCTGCCTTTTGAAGACGTATAAATATATTGCAGTACACGATTAATCGATGTCTATGTAAAGTGTAGTAGAATGAGTAAGTTAAAAATACAAGTTGACTGTTCAGTTACATTCATCGCATGCACCCATGTAACTGCATAAATTAATATTAATATATATATATATAATTTATTATTTATATATATATATATATATATATAAATAATAAATTTTTCATGATATTCATGATCGACGAGTAAAATAGTTTTGTAGTTTTTTCCATTCAGGGAACACTCTTCTTCTTCTAAATAGTATATTAGTAAAGCATTACAATAAGATACCGAATATCTTAATATTTTTATTTATATTAATAACTTTTAACGACTTCTTTCCTGCATTTCTCAGCAAATAATACTATGAAAAACTGAACACATTTATATAACAGATTCATATTATCGCTTTCACGATTCCCGGAAGTGATAACAATAAATTTCACACTTGTTCAACTATTTGATGTTTCGACTAACGATAAGTTTTAATAGTTATATAGATAATATACATTAATGGAAGACAACTTTTAATATAGTGAGTGTATTCGCGTGTTCGACTGATAATTTATCGGTACACCCTACTAATACTGCCTCTAAAAGAATTCGATTCGATTCGATTCGATTCGATTCGATTCGATTCGCAATTGGATGCGTTAATATCCAAGCTTCCGAACGTAAGGCACACATTCTTCGAGACAAGATTTCGGAAAGGGCGCACCAGTTTACATTCGGAAGCGTGTATAGAAACAGCCGGTTGGCATCGAGCAATGAGAATCTTGAATACTCGAATACTTGAGAATCGCGTGTTGTACAGCTCGGCTATTTACTAGAAAATTTCTATCGCTTCGAATAACGATCGCATTCTCGGCAAATACGCAAGCTATTCGGAAATGGGAAGATAATAGATAACACTGTTGAAAGAAATTCGAACGTTTAGGCAGTAACGCGTTCGTAGTGTCCCTAGTACTATTTTCTATACAACGCATCAACGCAAGTGTACAGAATATTCATTGGAAAGGAGGATTTCCTACGATATTCCATAAAATTCCATAAAATTCCATAAAATTCCATAAAATTCCATCTAATTCCATCTAATTCCATCGAGTAAATAGGACTCTATTCGAGAACAAGGTATTTCACAATAAAATCGTATTTTATGATGCTTCGGAATGTCCGCGTGTGCGTATGCCACGCAATCTTACGCTATCAATTATTGTCATTCGAGTTAGCAGTTGCTACTGGAAACGACCATTAAAACATGATCGGATCATTGGATCGTTTTGTACTTTAACCGAACAAGATTAAATATAAAACAATAGTTGTCGCACCTAAAAGTCTCGTGAAAGAGAGTTACTTGAGAGGGAGAGGGGATATTCGATAACTCGAAGGTAGCAGATATATATGTTATTGCTGGTTTAAGAGAGCTATTACGCGTGTTAAGTTTTCCGTACGTTTAATCGAGCGATTGTTGCGTAGCGTGAACGTGCAGTGTCGTAGAATTAATCGAGAGAGTCGTAAAGGAATTTCGATGAGGTTCGCCGACACTCTAATTTCATATAGACGTCGAGGTGTGGTGGTCTCCGCCGTTCTGCGACTGTGCGTTATGGGGCAAAGAAGCCAGCTCGTTTCTACTCAAGTAATTCACTATTCCTGCTCCAAGAGAGTCACCGACCACATTCACCGTTGTCCTACAGCGATCTCTGCGGAAGTCGGAACACGCATGTCAATATATGTATTCTATCTTTGGCATGTACGAACCTGAGAACTTACAACAACCAATCAACCGCGATCACCAGGAAGACATCATCGGCTGGAAGGCGAACCGTGTCTAGAACCATTACCATCGTGACCAGGCCGGCCTGTGGAATTCCAGCCGCTCCGATACTGGCAGCAGTCGCTGTGATACTGCAACGCAGAGTGTTTTCAGCTTTTTCAGCTTTTTCAGAGTTTCGACAGTTTTCAGAGGTTTCGGTTGGAGATTCCGCTCACCTAACGGCTACCAATTGTCCAAAACTGAGGCTGACTTGGCGAACTTGCGCTATGAAAATTGCAGCGACAGCCTCGTACAGAGCTGTGCCGTCCATGTTAATGGTAGCGCCTATCGGCAAAACGAATCTGGTAATCCGTGGATCGACATTGTTATTCTCCTCCAGACAATTGATGGCAATGGGAAGAGTGGCGGAGCTCGACGATGTGCCGAAAGCAGTGACCAAAGCTTGCGCCATATTAGATATATAGACATACGGGTTTCTCTTTGTTATCAGAAAATATAAAATAGGTAGGACTATAAATCCATGTATGAACAGGCCAATCAAGACAGTTAAAAAGTACATTCCAAGTTGAGCGACCACTTCGTCCAGCGACTGCATCTCGGTAATCTTGGCAGCTACTAAAAACAATACACCCACAGGTGATAACCTGGAAGGCAAGACGATTGAATTTATAGCGTTCGAAGTTGCGGCTACGGAATATCGTAGGAATATTATAGGAATATTTATTATAGGAATATTATAGGAATATTTATTAAAGGAATATTATAGGAATATTTATTATAGGAATATTATAGGAATATTAGGCTCCACAGTTTCATCGAATGCCAATTTACCAAATAACCCAGTGAGTTATCAACATCATCGCGCCCGACAAAGACTCGAAGAAGTAGAGCAGTGGCTTCCCCGTTTCCTCCATCTTTCCCAAAGTAATGCCTAGAGCAGTGGCAAAGACAACCAGACCCATAATGTTGGTTCCAGAGACGCTCTTCTGTACCGGTTCCCAGTCGTCCATGTTGGCTGTCGAAAACAACTGTGTTCAGACTGATGCGAGATCCGAGACTCGGCAGACCTCGGAACTTTCCGACATTCACCTGAACTGGCATTCTCCGGTTTCTGCATTTCCGTTCTGTGCTGAGAGATGCAAGCCTCCACCAGATTCGGAGGGAACATGTTCCTAATCAAGTCCATTAGCGTGTCGATAGTCGAGACATTCTGCGGGGGTGCTTTTGTCTTAACGTTTGGATTATTTCCTACACCCGGCTGAACGGTGATCACTAAAATAATACCTGCAAATCGAATCGATAATATATACCATACGTATATTTTTCCGCAACGATTCGTCTTCTCGTCGTCTTCTCTCACCGACCTAATATTACGGCACTGATGGTGGTAACCATGTAATACGTGATAGCTCGAGCACCGATCCTGCCACTGAGGGATAGATCGAGGGATCCAATGGCGGAGACCAAGCTGGATATGATCAGCGGCAGGATCAAGCTTTTCAACATTCTTAGAAACAAATCTCCGATATAATTGATGTACATGATCTCACGGGGCGTCCATCCTTGCGTCCTCGTGCTTCTCAATACGATGCCAAGAATCACCCCACCGACAACCCCGCCAACAGTCAGAATGGTCAAAGAGTTGTGTCTCAAGCAAGATCGAATCCGCTCTTGTCTGGTCTTTGGCCTTTTGTTTGGATCTTGGGGATAGTACGAGGTCCTTTCCGCAATTTTGCATTGCGCGTCGGACCCTGACAGAGGTGATCTGCAACAACACCGAATCGGTTCATTCGCAACTATAGGGAATAAGACGAGCGAGCGTTGTCGTTATATTAATGTTCCTTGCCGCGATAGGTGTTTCGCGTTACGCAACACTCGCAACACTCGCAACACTCGCGTCCAACGGTTGTCAGGAAGAAAACCGTCTAGCCGAGAGACAGCTGTGCTTGCACCAGCTAAGGGGTTAATTGCGAGAGTTAATCCTTTAACGGTGTCAACGAGACACGTCAATTGCAACACCGTCAATTCCCTCGACTAATAACCAGATACGAAAGATACGAAAGATGCGAGCGTTGAGGAAAACAACGTTGAGAATCGTGTTGCGTTCCTGCCAAGAAAACCGAGATCAGTTACGTTTCTCTCGTGGGATACGTTCCAATGATAAATACGATAATAAGTCGACGATCCAATGATAAGTCGACAAACGACTAAAAAGTTTTGGTACCGTCGCATAGGAAACCGCGATCGTCGTATCCCCGCCGCGCACGTTTCTCTGAGCGCCTCAGCGGAAAGGACAGCCTTCCGATCTAATCTAATCGAGTTAAATAATCGCTCGAGACACGTTTAACGGTGCGTGTTGCTTTGCATCTTTGATTCTATTCGATTTAAACGGTTCGTCGATGTCTCCATTTCCGCGACTATGTTACAGATTCCTTCGAAGGGAATTTTCGAGAATGTCCGAGCGTTTCCGCGATGCTCCTCCGAAAGTAAGTTCCGACCGCGGTCGCACTCTCGAAATTCCTCGTTGATCGAGAAAGATTCGTCAAGGCCACGTTGCCCGTGGTTCGTCCGTGGTTCGCCCGTGATTCGTCCGAACCTATTCGGCAATTATCAAATCGTGCTTTCTACGCTCGTTTCGGCGGGCCGTGCCACTCGACGCGCGCCGCAGCGACAACTTTGCTTTGTTTATATTAGATTTTCGAACATAATGGCCATTTCTTCTCGGACGATTCTCGAAAGAGTATAAACACGATTAAAGTGGACTCGAATAAAGAGGATTCCGATGACAACGCGACAACTATGTTTTCCAAGTTTGCGGAAAGAGAAATATATCGGTTCGACTTGGAGCCACAAGCGTAAACGGCTCGATTTCCAGCCGGTCGAGAAGCGCGTTAAATAAAGACCGTTTGTCGCGACCAGTCGCGTTAAAGGTAAAGCGAAGATGCTCTCGTTACGTACAGTTCGGTAGCGACTTCCATGACGGCACCGGCGGTCCCCCTGATGTTCTACGTTTATCTGGCGTTGGCCTCGCGTCACGACGAAAGACGATGATCGGCCGTTCGCATAGAGCGTTGGTCCCAGTCGGCCGGAAGAAAATCGGTTAATCCACTCGCAACCAGCCTTCTTCGGAACCTCCTTCCTCCGCCTCTTCTCGCTTCTGAATTCTTCTGACGGAACAACAAAAGAAAACGGCAAAATACAGAGACGGGGAAGAAAAACCGATCCGTTTCATCTTCTTCGACTCGGACGCGATCGATTCGCGATCGATTCACGATCGATTCACGATCGATTCACGATCGATTCACGATCAATCTAGGAAGAACGATATTAAGCCTGAGATTAGTTTCTTTTACTCGAACAAGAAAACCCGTCATGTCGTGTCGCGGCCATGTTGCTGGCCAAATGGAAACAGGATACTCGGCGGGCGAACAACGCTTACCGGAGAAATTCAACGGTGAACAGGTTCAACGATCGATTCGTGTGGTTTGCCATGAATTTCATCGAACCGTCGCAAACGGGAATCAAAGCGAAAGGCGAGCTGCTCTCCGAATTCTTCGAGGAGACACTGCGCGACGCGTATCACTTTTGGTTGCCGGTGATTTACCCCGGCGCACTGTTACGCGGTGCTACGGTTTCCGGCGTTCTCGGCTCGGCCGCACGGGACGCTCGTCGACGCGCGGCACCGGCGGCGCGACTACGAAACCGAAAGATCGAGGGCCAGCGGATTTCTTCCGTCGCATCGCGTCGGGACTCGACGAGAGGGATATAACGACTCTCGACCGGAACACTACTTTAGAGCAGGGAAACTTTCAACGCGTCGGACCCGATGGATCGTGAACGGCCGGAAGCCTCGGACGTTGGGCCGCCTGCTCTCGTTGCGGGCACGGGACTCTGCTCTCGGGATCGTATCTCGCGAGCGGAACTCTTAAAGAACGATGAAAAGCGCGACAGGTTCGTTGCTCCCAAGTTCGAGATCGAGATCGAGATCGAGAGAGAGAGAGAGAGGAGGAGGAGGAGGAGGAGCCGAACGGACAGCGAGAAGCGAGCGTACGACGTTGATCGTTTAATAGAGCGGCAACGTTAGGTACACGCGAACCAGCTTTCGACGCTGCTTCGCCGGTGCGCCCGGCGAGGAGAGGATGTGTGCTGATAAAGCTCTCAATCTGTGCCACCTTGGGTGGTACGATTAGCTATGGCGATCCCCCAGCGACGATCTCTTCCTGCCGTGACGGCCTATCATCGTCAGATACGTTACAAATACGCGACGGCCGACCCACGACCCCATCGGGAGCACCGGGTTATGGGTCTATTGTTCGACGGTTGCTACCGTCTCTTTCTCTTTCTCTCTTTCCCTCTTTCTCTCTTTCTCTCCGACTGCCCGCTCCCCGACCGCCGGTCGCTGGTCCCTGTACCGTGTACAGTGTACATGACACGGGAGAGAACGCTCTCGCGCCCTTCCTCTGATACGCTGCAGATCCCTTCCTTCCGACTTGTACTAAACTCCTCTTCCTCCGACGTCCCAGACCGTGTTCCACGACCCTCGCCCACGCGCACGGCCCGGCATCGAGAAAACTTCTTTCTCTTGACCGAGTTATCGGCGAAACTCTTTCCGAGCTTTCCGAGCTTTTCGGGCTTGTACAGTACGACGGCGAAATTGGTCTTTTCCTAGGATTTCATTCAATTTCTAGCGGCTAATAAATAACTACATCCTCGAAATCCTCGTAACCGCTAAGGTTGGCCAACAGCGTTTCTTTCTTTTCGGTACGGTTCGAACGTTCGAAAACTTGTACCGCGCGGATGGGAAAAATCAACGAATCGGCCGGGTACACGCGTACTCGATCGAAAGTGGCGCAACTCGAGGGAGAAATGACTTTGATAATTAGTCAGGTACGTGTGTACTTGGCTGAACCCTAGCGCGATACACTTCCGCGATTACGATTGGCGGCCTGAAACACGGTATCTCCCGACACACTCGAAGAGAACGATCTCCTTCGAGAGGCGGCGCGTTTCGTCCCATCGCAGACGCAACGTTTCCGAACTCTTTGAATTTCGCGGTTCGCGGCTTTTCGCTGGCCAGCGAAAAGAGGGTCGCCTTTTAGCCCGAATAACACTTTGCTTTCTTCCTCTCAAACTCTCGACGCGGAATCGGACGTCGGGTCGTAAAAGTGACCCACTTACGTTTCGTTGTCGCGGTTACTTTCAGCCCTTTAAGTTTAACCCTTTCAAGGGAGAGAGTTTCGGGTTAGGTCACAGGGACTATTTCAGTTTCCGATTAGATACAGGCTTCTACGCCGGTTCACAAGGGCATTTCGAACGAAAGAGTTTACTCGAGAAATGTGTATCGGTCGCGCCGCCGCGGCGCACGTGTCCCGGCGAATACGACAAGTAGAAACGATCAGCAATGGCCGGACGAGAGCTAAGAGAGCTCGCGTTCAACGGAGAGGAGAGTTGGAGAATTTCGATTTCTCGCCATCGCTCCATCTCTCTTGTGCAAATTGTTTCCCAGGCACCTCGAGTACGTCGGTTCGTCCGCGTGCTTCGAATAATTTTACAAGAAGAAATCAGGAATGGAGCATTTCGGCTCTGGAACAAGTCGCCAAAGACACAGAGGCGCGTCGCTTCTCGAAGACGGAAAGGAGGAGAACCAGAGAAACGGAATCGTGGGCTAAACAATTGTTCGTTCACGCGAACGCTCTTGCGCGCAATTAGACAACGCCGCGAATTCGTTATGCCATTCGTTATTCGTAACGCGACTCCATAAACGCGGGACTCGACGCGACGATTTAATCAACGATAAAAACCATTTAATCTTCTCGAGCACTCTTCAGAGGGCTCGAAAAGAAAGAGTCCAAGTAACTATAGAGCAGCGCAACATCTTTGCTACGAGAAAGAATAGAGTAGCGGTAAACCGACGGCGCGTTCAAACAGGTTAAGAACTGCCGATCGACAAGGTAATAAACAACTGGTAAAGTTGAAATATCGAGTGTTAGGTAACAGGTTGATTCTACTTCAAGGCAACACAGCCTTTGAATATTCATCGGGTACGCGCGCTGCTCGAGTACGACTCGGTTCTACGCGGCGAGACGGTGGAACGGTGGATCGGCTCGCGAAATTCTCTGGCGATCACAAAAGGCGATCGGAACCAAACAGTTTCCGCCCACGTTCCGATCCCATCGTCCGCTTGTGTATCATCGATGACGCCGATTGCGTCACGCCGTCGGTTCCATAATAGTTCATTAAATTGCCGGTAATTCGTGGTTGCGGGGGTATTTTATGCAATATAAATGAATGAGCATTATCGTGCTACACTTTCAAAGGCCAATTTACGTGTCCGCTGCGAGTCGATTGGGTGCCGGCGCAAAAATCAAAGTATCGAAAATTCCGTCTCGCGAGGAAACTTCCGTTCCGTGCGGTGCGTGGCTTCGTTCGAAACAATTCGACGACTCGTGGATCGGAATCGAAACTGTCCAAGACGAAATATCAAAATTATCGATCCATCCGTGGTTAGAAGGAAAATCGTCGTTGTAAAACGATCCTTTTCATTGATTTTCGAGGACGATTGGACGGTTGGCGCGTCGTCGGCAATTCTCCCGCGCAAAACGAGCAAAGCGGCATCGCCGTTCTGCGCAGGTGCGCCGGATCCGTGCAAACCTTTCCGGAGTGTTGCACTGTTGCACTGTTGCACTGTTGCACTGTTGCACCGTTGCACGGTAGAAGTAGTTTGTTTTTAGAACAACTTGTCGAGATCGCCGATTGGTGAGCTCTCTCTCGATCGTTTCTCATTTAAGCGAGCGTGAAACCATTACGGTTTCGTGGGAAACACGAATTAGCCAATTCCGTTTAATTTTCGCCTTCGAACTCGACGGACCATCTTCAATTTGACAATTTGACAATTTTACAATTTTACACCTCGTTAACGAATTTTACGGTCCTGTTAACCGAAGTACTCGAGCATTTCAGTAAAATGTGCAATTGCCGATTATCGCGTGTTTCGAACGACGCGCGACACCATTGGTCCAACATTATTTTTCTTATTTCGCAGCATTACACGAGAATTTCGGCCCCGAATGGAATTAGGAATATCGATTGAACAAGTAAACTGTGGAAAAATCGGAAATTCCTAGAAATTTTCGCAAGAACTGCGTCGACTGTGCGTGCTACGCGCGAAATGCGGTTAAGAGAAGCAAGTGTTCGTAGAGCAATGTCGGTTAGCTCTCGTATTCCTGAAATCAGATATAGCGTCGCATAGGAAGCGATACGAACAATTCGAGACGCAACAAAACGAAATTAATGGGCGCCAACGGGTTTCGTTTCGCTTCGTTTCGTTTCGTTTCGTTTCGTTTCGTTTCGTTTCGTTTCGTCTCATCTCGTCCCGTCCCATCCCGTCCCGTCCGTTTCAACGGACGACAGATCGAAACGAGCGCTACAATGTTGTAGACGCATACATGTGTATCACCTTGAAAGAAATAGATCTTGGAACAACAATATCGCGTCAAACACGAATTCGATATTTCTCTGGGGCTCTATTATAGAACGTCGCAACAAACGCATTTGTTATGTAAGCGTTTAGTCCATCGTCTCTGCAATTCGTAGACGATTATCCGTTATTCATTCGACGCGTCCGAGATGCGATTACGAGAGCGTGTTGTGCCATTCGGTTCACCGGAATCAGATATCCGAATGCGCGAAATCAAAGGAACAGGAGCGTAAACGAAATTACATTGGCGGATGATCCGTTTGATCGCGCGAGTTCCGACAGCAGCTAGAATCTATACTCGACAGAAATCCATAGAGCTTCAAGTTGAAATGCGCGTGTACTCCTCGAGTGAACCACGCCGTGTATCGTCGCGAGCAACCACGCGCCCCTCTCGAACCCCGCGATCTTGCAGGATTCACCGAGAATAATCAATCGTCCGACGATTAGTAGAAAAGAATGGAAAATGGACAATGGAAAATAGAAAATATTTGGAAAATAAAGGTTCTTACCTCGGACAGTTTTCTCGGTGGTTTTCGTTCGTTTATTCGGAAAAGGACACTCCGTGTGGACAGTAAGCACGCACCGATTCCGCTCGAGACGAAAAGAGCGAGAGAGATTAGAAATCTCGGTACGGTCGTAGGTGTTTACCGGATAAACGAGTACAGGCGCGTTTTAGCGTCAGTGAGCAGAAAAATGACGTGCGCACACGCCGATTCACTGGTTCTACCACGCTTCTTTCATGTACACCGTGCAATGACAGTGGCGGGACTGTGTCACCACGGAGAGTGTGTGATTCGAGCTGAGCATTCGAAAAGCGCGCGGGTGGTGGGGAACCCGAGGAGTGGTGGGAAACCAGCGAATTCTCCGAGTCGCGGGACATCGTTGGTCCCCGCGAAAC